GGAAGATAATGTTAATACTAGAAATCTCCGCAAAATTCAAGGAAGCCCTTTCCCCTGGTATAGTCAGGATTCATGGACACTGCAGCCACATAATACTCACTACAGGCTGTGCCACTCACTCAGATCCCAGCTGTGCCCTATGCCACAGCTGTAACACTTAATTACTGGAACAAAAAAAAATATTCATATAGCTTTCTAGCTAGGAATCTAATCTGATGCTTAATTTTACGTAGGTGGCCACTGTCGCAGGAATTTTCTACAGTGGTACCAAAACTCCTAGACTTAGGGCCTAACTCCCAGGTCATAAGTTTGGAGCATCAGTTTAACCTATATGGTACTTCGGGACTTCCTTCCTCTGTATGTCACTTCTCAAGCTCTGAGGGCAGATGAGGAGATGGGCTCTGGGGAGGGGAAAGTCTTCAGCAAATGTTTAGCACAGATTATATAATCAGTGATAACTTTTATCACTCCACTCTCTGAGGTGTCTCCATAGGGAGATGGTGGACTTTTCAGAGCAGGGATGTGAGTGTATTGTGGAGACAGAGGTAGATACACGTCCATGAAAAAGATTTAGAGCTTAGGCAAGTACCCATCAGCAATCAGTACAAGTTCTCTTCAGAATGTATTTAGACAGTTTCCCATCCCAGAATTCATACTGACTTAAAGGAAGTGCGTGCTTTATCCTAGAGTTTTGGCTTTTCATAAGGTTGCTATACTGTCAACTTTTATTAATTTCTTGATATAATTACTTTTTATTATGGGTTATATCCCAGCGGGTCTTTCTTCCAGGGGGTAAAGTCCTGTACTTCCTCTCTGATGTGTGGTCGACCACCTTGGAAAGAAGAATAAACCCTAATAATAAGTCCTGCACCTCTCTAAGCTATTCCTGTGGGATATAATACTCATTGCTTTGAAGCCCTAACTCTACAGTGAGTAATGCAGAGAAATTTCTGAATATAAATGAGTTTGTTCTGGTACCCAGTTGTTTTCTATATGTTCAAGAAAGTACCAAAGAAAGCCTGTCCCTCAAAGTTCCTGACTGGTGTGGGAGGTCACCCAGACGTGGAACCAAAGCCTGGCGAAGTCTAGGCTGCCCAAAGCCAGTTGTGGGGTGTATCCAGTGTAGTGCCGCAGTAAAGACAGAAGCAACTGATACTCAGTCCTAAGTGGGACCTTGTGGTGTGGAGGGAAACTTGGAAAGGGAGACCGGAAGCTGATGGGAGTGGCAGGTCAAGACAGATCTATAAATTCATGACTGGAGTGAGCACATATAAAGAGATTTTTTGTATTACAACTGAAAATGGTAGTGAGGGGGAGACAGCATGCAGGCTCAAGAATTCTCCGAAGAGGTGTGATGAAAGTACCACAGGAAAGGTCAGTCTTATGGGCAAAGTTCTCCGTAGTCTTTGGTTGCTGCTTGCATTCCGCATCCTCTCTTTGGCATCCTTACGAGTGGTACATGGTTGACTGAAATTCTAGTAGTTGGCACTACTCAGAGTTGATGCAGATGTACCCTTTGGAACCTACCATGTAATTATGAAACTATAATTACTGATCAAATCACTGCAGACAGGTTCACCGTTATTTTTAAAACACTGTCAAGAATTATTTTCTTCTAAAATTTTCAACTAAATATTTTTTTATTTGAAATATTTTTATATTTTATTTTTATGCCCAAAATATATTTATGTATCTGTGCATGAATTCTTTATTTGAAGGCATCAAAACACATGAAAGATAAAGCTATAAAAGATTCACTGTAATATTTATTTTATTGGTATAATATATAATGTTTAATTTTGGCGAGGTGCTACCTATATATTAATAACCAAAATTGCCTAGTTTTTTTTATCAAGCTTATACTGTTACTTCAGTCTACAGTTACTTTTATCATAATTTTATCTAATAACACAGATCCTAGTTTCAAGAAGTGGCAAAGTCTTAACTTTAAATATGAAGAAGGACATTGGAGGGCAGAGCGAGTGTGGGAAAGGTGAGGGGTATCGAAAGGTGTGGAAAAGGGAGAAGTAATGTGATTATATAGTAGGAAACAGCAGTGAATAAATATTGTGTAGTAGTAAATAAAGAACTGAAACTATATTCATTCACTCTACATATTTGTATGTGTATGTGTATGTGTATGTGTATGTGTATATATAGAGAGTTTGATTTCTTTTTCTGTTTGGTCACTGGTTCACTTATTCACCAATCATTTATTGGTGCCTATTATGGGCAAGTTCTCTACTTGATAAAAACTACATGGTACAAAACAAACAGACCATGATTCCTAGCTCTATAGTTATATGTGTATCTTAAAATATATGTAATAATAATAGTATGTATATATTCACCTGAGAAATGAGAATCATACCTGCCAATCCTGTCTCACAGGACTGTGTAAGAAAAACATGAAATAGTGTCTATCAGAATGCTTCGAAAGCGTAGAGTGATGCTATATAAGTATAACTCAGCTCCTGCGTACATGATATGAAGTATTAAATGAGTCACTTTATACTTTTAAAAGTCATCTTTACATGTTGTGCAGGCCAGATGATTACCATATAGTATGATATAACACCTTTCAGAATTTGGATTTGGATTAATAATATTTAACTTTTCCACTTAATTGAGATTTATGACGAGCTGGATGAATTTAAGTGTTGGCTTTGAGGAATTCAGCTTTATCAGGGTGGAGGTTTTAAAAACAATGCCCATGGACTCTCGACTTGGATAAGTTTTGGTGACATGGTAGGAAAAAGCCTGATTCACATCAGTTCAGAGGAGGATTGGAAGAGACAACTTACAGACAACTCCTTGAGGAGATTCTTCAAAAAGTCAGCAGCTAGAAGGAGAGGAGGTATCAAAGAAGAAAGATGGGATATTTGTTTGATTTTTAAATGTGGGTATTTTCACAGCCTGTTTGTATATTGATAGACCACTTTTTTTTATTTCATACTCGTAAATCATCAGTTCACTCAGCAATGGTAAGGGTGCTGTAATAAATTTAGGGATGCATAACATGCTTACTGATATAAAGTATCAGAATCTTGATATAACCAGTTCAGAATGGAAAACAAAGGGCTGGGAGACAACAGTCATGATGCTGGAGAGACTCTGAAGAGGTTTATGAAGCATCTTGAAGGATTCAGACACACCTAAACGACAGGAATAATTCTCCAGGCAGTGGAAGGCTAAGAAATAGGGGACGAGAAAGCACACTTGTGCTAAAAGAATGACCTTCTTGTTGATTATACTAATCTGACTAATTAGACCCCCCAAATACCTGTCCTCGATTAGGTAGACAGAAGAATTGAAAATGACTTTGCATATTCCCATTGAACACATGGTATTCTAGGTTACTTAGGAAGCCACACCCCATCCTCAGGTCATATAAGAATGCTTTTAAACAATTTTTTTTTTTGAGGAAAAAGTGTATCATGTTTATTCACAAAGTCATTTTTAACATAACTTTTTAATTCAGCACCCCCCAAATGGCAATCCCTTACTATACAGAGATTTTCCTTACTTTGTTCAGAATTCTTACTTGTCAACATTGCAGAACATTTCATTGCTGTGATTAAATATCCATACGAAATTTTTTAAATCTTCCTACCTCACCTTGAATAAATTTTCATGATAGAAATATTATAGGAGATATTTTTCAATTCTTTTAAACTTCTCTATAACCTAAAGAACAGAGTGCAAAATTCCACAGTAGTATCGCCCTCCCACCTTTCTGAACTCAGCCCACACCAATTTCCCTTTCCATTTAAACACTCATTGTCTGTGACCACAAATATGTAACCTGACTCCAAGATAAAACTTTGTTTTTATCATTTCTAATCATATTAGTATTTATTTTGACTTAACGTATTGAATGGCCTCACTGTTAAAATATGCTACATTAGATCATGTATTTTGTACATCAACTCAAGAAATGGAACACTGATATGATGGCAAGGGTCAGGTAAGCCAATTTTTGCAAATATTTTGAGGAAACATAAAATTAAGACGATCATTTCAGATATATCAAGCCATGTCTACTGAACCAAAAAAGGCCAAGCTAGATGTATAATATGGCAGCATATGCAGCGTTAATTTTAAAGGCTCGAAGTATCCTAGCATCCACGGCTCCCCACTTCCCTGCCTTACCTCTCTCCAACTCACAGACATACAGTAACTTTGGCAAGGAAAGAGGATTTTTTAATTTGTTTGTTTTTCCCACCCACCTTCCATGGTTCCTGAAATTCTCAACCATAATTTATTCATCTGGGAGAAAAGAACAACAGTATAATTCAGATAAACTGGTACAAACTGGGAACATAGACAATTAAGTTTCGATAGAAAAGAACAATAAAAGGAAAGTCTAAGTGAATTTGAAGGGCTGAGATTGGAAAATGAGATGAAGTTCGTGTGGAGGAGATGGAGCATCGGGGGCAAGGAAAGAAAAGGGAAACGCATTTTTGGGGGGCCTGTTAGCCGTCTTTCCTAGGCTCGTTAAACCGCAGATCACAAAGATAGATACCCCTGTTCGTTGGCATCCCAATGGAAAACTAGAACAGACACTGTTTTCATTTTTTAAATCTCGTCATGTGGCAAATTCAGAGTATCCATTTTTAGCAAAATTTTTTCCTCAGGAATGTATAAAAACATGTCTCATTGATTTAAATATTTTAGCGTTTCTGAAAGTAGCATAGTAACTATTTACAAAACTGGTCAGTAACATTTACCTAGCATAGACAGCACTGGTTGCATTTCTTTGTGTGCTATCTTTTAAAAAGTTTACAGCTTCCTCTGTTATACTGTTTTAAGCTACATCTAGTAAATATTTGGGGGGGTGATGTCATCTTAAAGCATGCCTAGCTGCAGGACTCCTACTCAACTGGCTTTGCCCCCCTAAAAATTTGCCTGGATTATTTCAAAATAAGTTAGATTTAAAGTTTCCATTATATTGACCTGTAATTTATGGATGCATATATGTTTTTACTTTGTAAATATAGTTCATTTACCCCTAAAATGCAAGGCAGACGGATGGGGACTTCAGGAAGAGCCATCACGAAGAGCACCAGTGTGAGTGGAGAGATGTACACACTGGAGCATAATGACGGCAGCCAGTCGGACACGGCCGTGGGGACAGTGGGAGCCGGCGGGAAGAAACGGAGGTCCAGCCTCAGCGCCAAAGTGGTGGCCATCGTGTCGCGACGGAGTAGAAGCACATCCCAACTAAGCCAAACAGGTGAGTGAAGCGAATTCTACGTAAACAGCACAAGGGCTTGCTGGAGAGACGACAGTGGATCTTCGTGCTGTGGATTGTGATGGAATTGTAGAGCCTGTAGATTCTTCTTTGCAAAGCAAAGTTCTTTTTCTGTCTCTGGAAATCTGTTACATGTATGAGTTTGTTTTTTTCTATACAGCTGTCTAACAAGGGATCATTGTCAACCTGTCATGTGGTCAGCTATTTTCCTTTAAGTTAAAAAAAATATAAGTCATATTTATAAATATGCAAGGAAATGCAAAGAAGTATTAAGGATCCAAATTGATTTATGTGCAAGAAAAGCAACAGGATTCTCCTTTTCAAAATGTTCCACAATACAATTACTCATCATTTAGGTTCTGTCTATATTTTTATAGAAAAGAAGGTCAGTTGTGCAACTTGAAATATAGTTTTTATGGCGCTGTGTGAACATAAAAATTGAACCGTAATTGTTAAATGTTCAATGCACGTAAAAACCCTGCAGTTATTTTTACTTTAGAAAAATGGGTCAGTGGATTTGTGCAAAGAATAATGTTTGAATACAAGCTTGAGTTTCAAATATTTTTATACTGCTTATAAATCTTAAAAGCTTTATGTCCTCAAGGTATATAGAAAAAAAGCAAACAAGAGGATGGTTATTTCTGTACTATAAAACATAAAAAAAAATTGCCTATGATTATATAACATTTGGTCAGACATATTAGCAATCCATTACTATGCTCAGTACTATGGAAAACAAAAGGTAAGAGAAATATTGAACTGATTTCAGTTGTCAGCACCTGTTTCTCCTGTTATAACCATTGGTACTATTTTTTGTTCCTTAACAGCAAAAGTCTTACTGCAAAATTTACTTGAACAAAAAAAAAAAAAAAAAAAAAA